CCTAGCCCTTGTGTGCCCTAGAGTCAATAGCACTCTGTATATGTCAGTTACGATACTGACTGAGGAGCAAGTGAGTCACAGCGTGCAAGAATGCAGACAAACACTCAGGGAACTTCTTGGAGGGTTTTCCAGGTTTGTAGGTTTTGTTTCCTAGCGGACCTTGTGTCCCTGAAGAATCCTTTTTTTTTTGCATGATCCTACTGTCCTGCTGAGTGTGGCATATCTCCATATACAACAAACTTATTTGAACCAACTTTGGTTGAGACAATTCAGAATACAGAATTCAGGAAATCCTATCCTATTGACAATGAAGCAAAACTAACCACCTGGGCAGACAGAAACCCCAAAGAAAATAGTGATTCAGGCAAGATCCTCCCTAGAATTCCTTCTTCATGGACCAGCTCCCTGAACTGGGTAATAAAAACAAACAATTATCAGTTATGAAATGGTATGGTTAGACAACCATAGGCCATAAAATCTTGGGTGCCATCATAAAAACCTCCAGGAAATAATTTGATTAAGGCTTATACACATCAACATCTGATTGATCCCTTTGCTTTTCTGGCTGCATCCTGTACGCATATGCTATTGTGGGACTTGGCTTCAGATGAGTACAGAATGAAATTTTATCTTTACAAATCCTGAACTGAAGCTTAAGCATAGGAATTGTCAGTGGTCAGGAGGCAGTGCTGAAAACATAATTTATATATGGTGCTATATATTTTCCAGGTCTATGCCATGCAGATAGAATTCACGGTTCCATGTAGGTTCTCACTATCTTTTAGATAGAAACTGGCATTGTATTTGCAACTTTTTTGTTCCTCAAGCTGTGGTCTACTAAGTCCTGGTAGTCTTTAAGAAAAAGGGTCCACGAAATTGTTTTGTTAAGGCCTGCTAGGCATGTTTTGCTACTGCCTTTAAAGATGTGGGACCTTTTGAGGCTTGTATGGTAACTAAAGGGCATTCTCAACTTGCCACACTGTACCACTTTCCACATAATTTTTATCTGCAGTTATGGATTCTTTCATTAATATGCAATTTTTGAAGTCTGCAGTTAACTCATCTAGCTTGACTGTGATCTTCAGGACTGCTTTTCTAAAATATCTTATTTTTTAATTTGAACTGGTAGGTTCAACTGTCAGAACCAAAACATCAGTCAGGGATTTTATTTATGGTCTGAAAGTGGATGCTCATTTGTTTAATGTGATTGAACTTTGCTTGTCAATCCATGTTCTGACTTTATATTTTGTCCAGGAATAGTTTTAGCTGCTATCAGCATATTTGTGGGAAACTAGATGGAATGCAATTGTACTTGAAGTACAGGAAAACATTTTTCAGCTCTTTAGATGTGTTGGGCCAGTAGGAAACTTGTGATTGAGCTGGAAATCACTGTTAGTCAACAGTGGATGAGGTAAGGTTAAGTGACAAATCACCAGAGTACGGAAACAAAGGAAACAAAGTAACTCAATTTCTCATTTCGTTTTCCTCTTCTGCAAAAAAGTCAGAATGGTAAATGCCAAGCAACAATGAAAAATGCTCATAAGATCTGATTTCAACTCTGTTAAGAGCAAACCATGAAGGCACTATTATTGTTTCTCCCAGTGAACAAATCTTACTGCAGAACTCACCATCATCGGTGGCACAAACTAACACTAGGGCTGGTGACCTCAGCAGAAAAGATCATGACAGAGTAACCTGAAGATCTGAGTGACAGTGATATCTTGTAAGTGTTTGAAATGGGAAAATATCCACTTCCATGCCAGTGCTTTTTATATTTCTATGTATTTTGAATACTCATGATGTTACGGAGGGAAGGGGGTGTTACAGCCTCTGGGATCTTTCTGAGGGCTGTTGCCTCCTGCTGAGTTCCTGCATGCTCTGGTCTCACCATCAGCCCTCACAGCCCAGTGTTGACCTGCTTCTGTGAGTGGTAAGGCTCACCATTTCATAGATGCCCTGTTAAGTTCAGAGCTCAGCAGCAATCACCTATAAACAGTAGCAGCTCTTATTTTGCCAAATCTTTATTTTGACTCCTCAAAGGCTGATGTGGAAACCATTCTTCAGGGTTATGAGTTCAGGAGCTCCCATACAGTGGTGTTTCTGGTCAAGACACCACAGCACACTAAAACTACAGTTAGTATCAGTACTATTGTGATTGTTCTGCTCAGCTCATCAGGCAGATTTTATTGCTTTTCAGGATGTAGTCCAGAAAATAAAAAATAGACAAAGAGTAGAGCTGACGATGAAACACAGAAAAACTGTTCTGAGTGAAATTTCTGATAGATCCAAAATCATCAGGACTACAAGTCCAACTTTCAGAATGACACAGGCACTCTGACATCTGACTCCCACCAAAACACAGGGATAAATTTTTAATGCCAAAGACTGCAGTAACTCTGCAAAGGCTGTTTAGCTTCTTTAAAACATTGTTTATGCTCTTGAAGTGACTCTGTAATGAATCTTCATGACTCAAGTGAGGCAGATGTAGCCAAAAAATGCTAATTATGTCTGAAAAAAGGAAGAGTCTGAGAAGAGGAAGAGGAGACACAAAGGTGAGATTGCATGACATCTATAATCCTGAATTACAAAACTGCTCATCAGTGGGCCAGCACTTGATGTGAATTACAACAGCTTCCAGCATCTGGCAGGGTATGTTGCCTGCCAACAGCTCCTAGGAGCCAGTCTAGCAATCACAAACCAGTGCCCCTTTTTTCTGCAGGCCACATGCTTTCTCCCAGCCAAAAGGAGGAGAGATGGCACTAGTCCAGCTCCGTCAGCGACTCTCCTTACATTGGAGACACTAACAAGGACAGATCTGCAGGGTTCACACAGCTTTGCACTGTAGAACAAAAACTGAACCTTTGACTCCTGAAGATATCTATCTTCAGACAATACAATTCTCACTCCGAAGATGAAAGGGCTGCTGAGGTGCCATTGATTGTTTTGGAAGTTATTTTCACCAAAGAATGCTGGTACTTCTCCCAGTCAGAATTAAGAGCCCACCAGGGCTGGAGCCAGGAGCGTTCCTCTAATAACAGAACAATGATATTACTTCTTGTTTCACTTACATCACAAATCACACAGCTTGATAGCTTGGAAAAGTTGCTGGTACCCATATTTAATTTTAGTGTGTATGAAGACATCCACTTCGTCTGATTTGTAAGTACAATAGTAAGTGTGAACACTCTGAGAAAAGTCACATTGGTCACACATAACAGCTAGCTCTAGGCCTTAAGCCTGAAGGTCAAAACACACATGAGGTACAGTTTCTTTTGTGGTATCGGGAAGCCTATAACACTGGTTAATAACTCGTATTGGATTTTGTCATACTTCTTGAATAACCTCACTGACTACTTTAATAAATAAAACACTTCAAAGTAAAACAGTAATAAAAAGTGCTCTCTGCTGTACCTTGTTAAGGTGAGTATTACTTCCCTTATGTGTTTAACCTAGTTGCTGGTGTGTTTTGCCACTGATTCTGCTATGTAACATAATAGCATTTTTCAAAATAGTACATTCAAACACCTTCCCCACTGTTTTCTTGTATAACACCTATCCTTCTCGCCCACACTGGCCCTCTGTTATGCTCACATTTGGCACAGAGGGCAGGGTGGTGTTTCTTTCCAGCCATCTGACCCACCATGCTTGTTTTAGCTTGACATAAAAATGTTTTTTTTAACAAGTTAATGAAAAAGATGTTCTCCTTTGACTTATAAATTTTTCTGTATGATTGGTTTATTGAGGTGAAGATAAATCTCATGGTCAATATGAAGCAAGAAATTATCCAAGAAGGGGGCACTTTTGGTTTGTTTTCTGAAGAAAGCCAGTCTCTGCTTCCACATCCTGGCTGGATCCCTTCATATGGGAATGTTTCAATTGTGGCAGTCAAGAGTTTAATGAGCTGCACTGTCCCACAAGGACGCGAACACTGGAGTGCTCCATGGGTTTAAGCTGAGTGAGTAGTCTTGTGCCAAAGATGGACAAGGACACAAAAGAGACCCCAAAACCAACAAACCCAAGGGGGCTACTTGGTTTCTTTGATTAGTCAAGTTCAGCTGGAGGTCCTTACACTAACTAGACAAGTCTTCAATGGAGGGGAAACAAAATTTTGAAAGAATGAATTTTCCTGATCAGCATCACTCTGCCTTTGTTTCCACTGAGATTCAGTGAGTTACTCCTCATCAAAACTCTCATTTCCAAAAAGTTGTCTGAAGTTTCTGAAACAGGAGGTGAATATATTCACTTAGCAAGGGACACGTAGCCAAATATCCCTGTGGACAAGGGAGCTCCTGACATTATACCATCTCTCCCTGTCTCACAAATCTGTTAAAAATCAAGACCACAAGATGGATCCCTGTGGGATAATCTCTTAGGGGTCTCTGCAGTGAAAGACCCCTAACAGCTATGGCTCATTTCTTTCTGTCCTTCACTGAATACAAAAAACCCCCATACCATGTAAAATTGGAAATGCATGCAGAAGGCCCAACTTCTTTCAAAGGTTCAAATAGCTAAATCTGAAAGGCTGTGAAAGGAGTGGGGCTGAAGAACATTCCATATTTGTCCAACAGAGAGGAAGACGGCACCATGATTCAGAAAGCAGCCTGGGAGGATTCTTCACTTCAGTTCTCCTGCAGCCAACAAAGCACAGGATCTGAAGGAAGATGTTAATTAACATTACTTCCAAGTATTCTTACACCATCCTTCTCAAATTATGGTTCCAAGGTGACACTACATGAATGACAGAAATGAACAGGCACTGTTGCTACTGCTGGGCTAAAAAATCATCATATTTGATCTTACAGCACAGTAGCAACTGCTGATTTTACTCAGGAGGCTTTTGGATCACATGATTTGACGACACATTGCAGTTTTGATGTCCACGACCCTCTAGCTGGATTTTATTTCTCTCATGGTTTGGCTGAAAGGGATGGGTGCACGTGTGTGTATTCACGCGCATGCTCACACACGCATGCGTGTGTGTAAGCATGCATTCATCCACTTCATGTTGCAGGTTTCAGTTTACAGGACCGCTGGTGGACGATCAGTCTCTCTGGAAGAAAAGTACGCCCACAAATATCACATGGAACTAGCTGGTTCTGGGCACTGATCCAGGCAGCCTCATTTAAGGAATCAAGATCATAGAAACCTTTGGCTGGAAAACTAAAAAAAGAAAGTATCAGCTTTCATTCTGGAGACCGACATTCAACTCTTTATGGAAAATATTTTCAGGAAATACCTGTTGACTGAGCTTTTCAGTTTAACCAACCATATTGCTTTTGCAAATGAAAAAGAAAGAAGCAAAAGAGTAAAAATTATATAAAAAATACTCTGCTTTTTGTCCCAGGGGTTGAATTAAATTAACTTCAAACTGAATCATTTTGTATTGTATGAAAGTACAGAGAAAACATCATGCTTTGTGTTATGATATGCACTCTCAGCTAATTATTAACATCTTTGTGTTATCTGACCATGGTAATAGGGGCAGAAGCACAACATACTTGAGAATATGCTCTTTGTACTGCTCTGGACAAGGGGCCCAATTTTCTTCCTCTTGAAGTCTGTGCAAGTTATGCCAATAAGTGGAGTTTAGCTTGGGTAAGCCTAAAATTTTACAGACAAAACCTACAGTTCTTTTAAGCCACAACTTCCAGTGAGGTCATTGCACTGATGCATCTATTGTCATCTGAACACTAATCCAGTCTTACCCTCAGTTATTTTCCACTGTGGGAAGAGTGACTGCTCTGAAGGCTCAGGAGCATTCTCCAAACACTCACATCAGATGTGTTTTCAAGATTTTATTTGTGTATAAAAAAAAACTTGTTTACTTTCATCTTGAAATAGACTTTCACATAGTGTTGTTTCAAACTGATTTACAAAAAGGCTAGATAGGTTGCTTAATATCTGGATTTATATCTTAAGAGTCTTCATTTGCAGTGCATGCAGAAAAAAAATCTACATGGCTCAATTTTAAGATGTATTTGCTTTGCAGTTCTCAAAAGGTATGGCGATACAGAAAAAGACTAAAAAATTGGTTTTGTCTTTGAACTGTTAGGAGCAGACAATTTTTAAAAGAAACGGATTTGTGCATTTAAAAATATTCCATGGTTTCTGTCATTGGCACATGGTAGACCTCTTCATTAAAGGCCCATACAGTTTTAATATGATTCATATCCAATGGTTCACATAACCACAATAAGCCTTAGATCTCTTAATATGCCTGTTCCTAATGTTCTTTTTGTTAGAAGAGCAACCAAGTAGTGTTTCTTTTCTTGGCTGAGACAAATACCCCCTTTGCTTGCAGGAAATGAATGTGTATTTTCTGTACTTTGGAAAGTTTATTGAATATTAAAAAAAAAAAAAAAAAAAAAAAAAAAAAAAGAGAGAGATGACTTTCGCCTTGCAGGCATGTGTTAGGCATTCCACAAACAAAACACTGTGTAATCAGGGCAGCGGTTGCCTTCCTGTGACACTTGAGTTTTCAGAAAAAGTTATGTAAGTTATAAAAAAATTTATGTAAGCAGTTAATATTTCTGAGCTTTTTTTTGAACATTGCCTATTCCATTCAACAACAGGGGTAATCCCTCCTCCTTAAGTTGAGAAACTGTGAGACATGCAGTACGTGTATGTGGTCTCAAGGTCAGCTATAGCATTTACCAGATGATCGAGAGTAAGTCTTACGGAAAAAGAACAACACAGAGATTATTTTCTCAAGGCCAGAAGCAGGAGGCAACTGCAGGGGGAACAATTTTAGCTCAAGCTACAGAACTGATCTGACTTGCATCAGCAGATATTTAGGGACAGATGCTGAAAGCAGATCAGTGTCCCCTGGGGAACCATAGGCACACAACACCTCATAAGAGATGTGTGGCGCCTAATATGACTCATTGCATAAATGAGACAATTTTCTGATTCATATCTGGGAGCCTTCTGCTGGATTGTTCTCTCAAAGAGTGGTTGTCTTTCTGCATCCAGTCCTTCAAAATAAGAATAGTGTATTTCAGAATAACCTGATTTGTCCTTTTGCATCCTCCTCTTTTAGATGAAAGTCTCATTTTCTCCATCTTCTTTGCCACGCAACATGTAATAATTAAAAAGAGCTTAACAATAAAAAGATCAAATACAATGAACATATACTTTGAACACATCTTTTACTGCAGATTCAGCTCTGCTGCCTGGTATGGATTAACCAAGCCCTGATCTGATATTTGAGCTGCGATGATTATTATTTTGAACAGTTGGTAGTGTTCTCAGTGATCCCGAGAGCAAAAGCAAAGCATTTGACACTGCCCCGCACAACATCTTTGTCTCTAAATTGAAAAGACATGGATTTGATGGAAGGACCACTTGGTGGGTAAGGAACTGGCTGGATAGCCACACTCAAAGAGTTGTGGCTAACAGCTCAGTGTCCAAGTGGAGACTGGTGACAAGTGCTGTTCTGCAGGGGTCAGTATTGGGACTGGTATTGTTTAACACCTTGCCCACACCAGTTGGCGTTGGCAACACGGACAGTGGGAGTGGATCGAATGCACCCTCAGCATGTTTCTTAATGACACCAAGCTGTGTGGTGCAGTCAA